AAATAGGAGGGATATCTCAGCCACTGAGGTTCCCCCTGGAGGACTGAGGGACTCCGGCCCCACACCAGGCTTCCCAGCCCAGAGTAGTGGTGCCAGGAAGAGGAGCCTCCACAATATGTGGTTGTGAAAAACAGTGGGGATTCTGACCATCTGGGCTGCACAAAACCCGGATATCCTCTTAAATAGCCCATGCACAGACTCACAGGCACTTACCTTGGGCTCCATCGGAGGGATGGTGACTCGGGGGTGTTGGAGACATACAGGGAGCATACGGGGCGCAGACTGTGGCTTCAGGGAAGGGCTGGAAGACGGTTGGCATTTTCTTGGTGAGGAGTCATCCCATGGAGCCAACAGGCTTGAGCCATCTTTCCTATGGTAAGCTCACCCCCCACTCCCAAACAGGCAAAATCTGAATCTGATTGGCCTGATGAGCTCTGCTGCTCCACCCTGCAGACTCAGCTGGGACCGGCAGAGGCACTTTTTCCATGAGCAGCCAGCCCTGCCCACATTGCACTCTTTCTTGAAAAACTATTGGAGTCCAAGGGCCCCAGGTGGGCAGCAACTGGCTCTGAGACTTTTGCAGAGTAGCTCCAGGCTCAGCACTGGCACCAAACCAGAGTCTACATTAACCTGGTGACCACACCTCTTCCACTCTAGTGACTCCCCGAGAGTCTGCCTCACCCAACTCACACACCACATGAGGCTTTATCAGTGGTTGAACCTTAAGGGAGCTGGCAGGTTGCAGCAGGCCTCGGGGTGTCCTGGCATTTTGCAGAATTACCCTAGGCCTGGTACTGGTGGCAGCTGTCCTTGGTTTGCAGTGTGGCCTGTCCCATACTCCTCCAGGTTTAGCACAGGCAGCAAAAAACTGCAGATCACTTTGTAGCTCCTACCAGGCAGCTCTCAGATAGTCACAGGCAGTGAGTGATCTGGGCCTACACTAGAGCCCCTCCTAAGAGGCCCCAGAACCAACATACTTGTAGGTTGGCTTCAGACCACAGCAGAGCACCACCCAATTTGCCCCATAAGTGGCACACACAAAGGGTGGACTCAACAGGCACCAGGACCCACTGGGGTGAATCCCACTCAGTGGGGTAAGCCTCCTGAATAGCAGCCCATAAGCTGTGGATGTGGCCATACTCCACAGCCAGTCAGCCTGAGGGTCAACCCTACCTACTGACATGCCACTGGTAATCAAGGCTCAACTGTAACAGGAGAGCACACACAACCCACACAAGGAACACTCCTGGAGCACCCAACCAAGGGACCAGGAAGACTGCCACTGGGCCCCACAGGACATGACATAAGGTCACCGGGCCAAGACTGGTAAATGTAGTAGATCTACCTAATACATAGAAACAAACAGAGAGAGGCAGTCAAAATGAAAAAATCAAGAAATGCATCCCAAATCAAAGAACAGGAAAAAAATCCAGAAAAAGAACTAAATGAAATGGAGGCAAGAAACCTACCAGAGACACAGTTCAAAACACTGGTTAGAACATTATGCTAAGTGAAATAAGTCAGTCAGAGAAAGACAAATATCATATGATCTCACTTATACATGGATTCTGAGGAACTGAATGGATGGGAGAAGTGGATGGAGATAGTCTCAGAGACACAGAGGAAGAACTGAGGGTTGTTAGTTGGGA